ATTCCGTGACCCAGCTGCCTAGTGTTGAACAATAAAACATACATGAACATACTTACGTCATAATGTTCTGTTGGTTAATACATATTTTTTATTCAGTCGCTGTGATTAATAGTTGCTTAATTTGCACGAAGTGTCAATTAAGTCCGAACAGATATTAACATATATAACATTAACGGAACCAACCATAGTATCAAATATATATGAATAGTGATCGTTGTGTTAATGCTGTTTGATCAATGTATTGTTCAAGAACTGTTGATAGAAGTTTTTCTTGTCTGTGAATAATATATCAGCGACATGGCACTCAGGAAAGATAAAGGTATTCGTCCATAACTACATCGAATAGAGAAGACATAAATTATGTACGTGCCATGTAATTGAACGGTTATTTCGTTTTAAGTACTTAACATAACTACGGACAATCTATAATTCAATACATAAAATATAAACACCCACATCAGTTTAACTGCTTATTGATATGCCAATTGTTCCTTCTGGTACGATATTTCAATATAAATTATTTTTTAAACGGTACTGGAATATGATATTCAACCTTTTGTACTAATTCTTTAGCTACAGTGACCATGCGGACAACTTTACAAATATTGCTGACTTTGCAAACACAGCTTTTTTTCGTTTTTTTTATTATTATCTAAACATATTTCATTGCTCTATTTGTACACATTAATAACAGTATATTATCATAACATTAAAATAAAAATAGTAAAGGGTTGAACCATGAGTTTTATCGACATCAGCAAACGGATATACCCTGAGCAAACGGGTTTTCCCTATGTTGACAAAAGAAATTGTCATAAAACTTTAATGCAAATATTTATAAAAACAATGAACACGTTACCTGCTAAATTTGTAAATTAAGAACATTCGTTTGACTTATAAGGGATTTTAATATATAATTACATACCTACACGAAGCTACCAACAGAATACTGCTCGGATATGCAGGCAATGAACAATGAACTCGATACTGATGGCAATGAACAATGATTTCTGGTTCAACGTGGTAATGGTAAAGGCATGTAAATGAACAATGCAATTCTTTTGAGAACATTATCTGTTATATGTTGTTTCTATTTTGTTTGATTTTACAGCGCAACAACAAAAATTAGGTCATATGGCGCCGAGACAGGAAAAGTGATTTTGGTTACCTTATGTGTTACAAACTTAAAGCAACACCAGTGGTTAAAACCACATCACCTGCTGGAGCTAAGAGATGCATAGACTCCAGTAATTTGAACTCATTCAGTCGTCGCGTTTTACGATCACGAAGGGATTAACGTTGGCTGCAATTCTGATACCTCAACCTTTAAGGATAACCCCTAAGCCAATAGGGGGATCTGATTTATAGAGGACATTGAATGAGTGAAAGTTCAATACTGAATTTATTGCACGAGTTGAATAAAATTATATTATGCGAGACTCACATATCCAAAATAGAGACCGTTTAAAGTGAAAAAAGAGTCATTATTCATTGACGCGCCTATAGTATAACGCTTACATTTAGCGCGTCTTTACACTATGTTTGTATAACGTTAATGACGTCACGTCAAAATATATGCACGGCCGTGCAATACCATATTTAAGGAGTCGCAAAATCGGCACGGGTCTGTGATAAATTGTTTTAGTTAACGTTTTGAATGTGTGAATCATTATTTACTTGTAAAAATACTATCTTTGGTTATCATGAATGATTATAATAATATCACTTGCCTCTCCCCGCTGAAGGTTTGAATCTTTTCAGAGACTTCTTAGCAATACTGATAGCAATAGCAATACAGCTATCTTATGGGATGTCTGTTGTTTACTTAGATGCCCACTAGTGTCTTGTGTAATGCAAGACGGGGCACCGGATGTCTTCCTCCACGATTAAAGCTTGAAAGTCATTAAATGACTGTAAAAGTGTCGGTGTTACTTTCATTTCAACAAAACAATCAACCTATGATATTGGAATGGTTGTGTGATCCTCTCCATGGCTTTGACTAATGAATATGTTCGTCAACGTATATATAACATTGAATACTTGATTATATAAATTTCATAAAGTTCGTTTGATCATTTACTATGACTTAATTAATTTATAATATATTTACAAAAATAGACAAGATATAAATTCACGGTACACTTATTTTGATGCATAGATGTTGGTTATTGTTTGTTTTCTTTGGTGGGCGGGATGGTTGTTGTGTTTTTCTCTGATTTTTTACTATCTTTCTCTGAATTCATTTGCATTAAATGTAAGAGTGAGTTACTTGCATAAAAGCGTACAACAGGATATAGCCTTAGATGACTGTAACAAGAAAACTGTTCGCAAATAAATAAATAAAAAATATTAAAATAAAATTGCACGTAACTGCCCACCACCAATATAATAGATAAATTTCAAACACAACAAATAAATCATATTATTACATATATTATATAGGCAAGATAGATGCACATAGAGTAAACATTAATTTTTTCAACTGTTCTTTAAGATTTGCAGATACGTCAAAAACTTTTGGGATGTCTACTGTAATCTTATTTTAAACAATATGCTTTAGAGGTAGGAAGATACCAATGTACTAGTATACTGAAATCAGAAAACCAGTCATACAAATGTTCAAAGAAAACAATACACTATTGAAATTGTCGCAAATAATAAATCTTAAATTGAACATTTGAAAGTCGAACAATCAATCGATTCTACAAAAAAGAAACCCTTTGAATTTCATCTTTAAAGACCATGACTTTATGTATTATGTATCAACAAGTTAAAGAAATCAGAACTACTTTTATTTTTTTTAGAAACCCTACGAGAAAGCAGCATAGTGTCACGCAAATTCAGTAAACGTGCAATTTTTCATATGGAGGCTTAAATTTAATACAGAACTTGAGCAATGAAGTTGAATTCTAATCTTAGTGTATATAGAGGAAATGGAAATTGAAAATCAGAATTCTATTTAGCATTTGTACAAAAACTTACATGACGAATATTCAGTGTTAGTGCATTTTTCTAACGGAAATGAATTAAATATACAATCTGTGGAATGAAATAGTAAGAGTTTAAGACGGGAAGTGGTTGGCATTTCCCGACTGTCAGTGCAGGACCGGGTCGGTCAGCACATGAATGTAGTTTAATCCGGCTCTATACTTTTGACTGTTTTAATTTAGTTTATTTTCAATTTGATATGATCCAAAACTGATAATGGGCTATTCTGAAACTGAAAATTCGTTCAAGTCGCTTTAAAAAAATCAACACGCTGAAGAATAATGTTAACTTTCATAAAATAACCGTTGACAGTGTTTTTGGATTGTATACCCTGTTGGCGTGATCCCAACCATGTGATTCAGATGAAGGGTATAAGTTAAAAGTAGTAATTTATTGGGTTTTGTTTTTCTTTCCGATTGGTAAAATAATACATCGGGCCTTTTTTGAAGTTTCAAACGTTAATTTATTAATATCCAATTTGGACGTTTAAGTCTAAATTTATTTCGGTCCCGGTTAAATAAATCAATGAAACAGTCGCTGGCAAGGATTCATTATAATGTCCCATATGATATTAGACTCACATATCTACCAGGCTCCTAGATTTAATATAAACTTTCAGTTTGAAATATTTTATCACATTATGAAGTAAACTTCCTAATAGCAATGTCAAAGTACGTCTTGGGACCTCTTTCATGGTTTTATCTTATCAAAAAACAAATAAATTCTATTTACCGTCTGGTTGATTTTATTTATTTCCAACGGCTTTATTAAACTAAGTATAAAGGTAAAACTATGTATTTATATTTGATATATTTATCATGGTTTTAGACCTAGGTATTTTAGATAAGAAAATGTATCACAGTTCAACTTATAAATCTTTGTAATTGACATTTACTTTAAACTTAGGTGATTTTCAAACTAGAAACGTGCATTTTGTTAAATCCTATACATTTCGCTAAATAATTGTTTGCTTTATAAACATATTAACTATTCGAAAGTCACTTTTCCTGTTATATTTTTATATTGATCTCAAAAAATGGTAAAGTTTTTATGTCATATTTGAGATTGAACACTCAAGGTTTAAGGCCAAATTGCCTTAATATGACAATTCTTGCTTATATTTATTAATTACAAAAATGCTTTAAGTACTATTGTGCATAAAGAGATTTAATTTACTTTCAGGCATTTTATATCCTTTAAAATCTACTATATGTCAAAATATGTAGAAATCGCAATTATCCTTAATAAAAGGCTAGAAATCTTGTATACACACGCACAAACAATACGCAGGTCAAATAACAACGTGCAATGACAACAATTAATTGTAATACTGCATGTGTATAAAATTATTAATATGAAGTGTGAAAAATAAACAATCGTAGAGACAATATAGTGTACATTTTTATTGCACTTGTCAAACTATAATAGTTATCAAGCTTAGGGTGAGCGAAAATCATACAAACATGATATTTTTTAAACAAAAAGAATAAGTAAAGTTTCTAAAAATGGTAAAGTTTTTATGTCATATTTGAGATCGAACACTCAAGGTTTAAGGCCAAATTGCCTTAATATGACAATTCTTGCTTTTATTTATTAATTACAAAAATGCTTTAAGTACTATTGTGCATAAAGATATTTAATTTACTTTCAGACATTTTCTTTCCTTAAAAAATCTACTATATGTCAAAATATGTAGAAATCGCAATTACCCTTAATAAAAGGCTACCAATCTTGTATACACACACAAACAATACATTAAATCACGGGACATAAAACAAAAGTTCTTACTTTTACGAATGAAACTTGGTCTGTAAATTTTATTAGTAACACGAGTGAAAACGCTTAGTTAACATAAGCAGTATAAAAGTTATAACTTGTCAACTTTTATGATGGCATTTGATGCTGTTTATATGCCAGATAAGTCTATGTGTAGATGATATTATGATAATACAGCATGTATTCAGCATGATACTAGATTTTATGAAGTTATATCAAAGTTTTATCAAAATGTTTACTAACAACAATAAAGCTTTTGCGATTAAACCATTAAGAGGTATGGAATAAATTAATTACTGCTCTGGTAAAAATTAATTACAGTTTTTCGTAAAGGAATGCAAGAGTGTCTTATGTAAACTGAACAAATATCTTTAAAGCAAAAAAAAAGCGATGACTTTTTGGTGTAAGACTTAAATTTGAAGTGGTTTCAATTTTACAAGATAACAGAAACCAAAAGATTAATTTATCATCTCTTTTTTATGTAAATAAAACAAACTTATTGTAACAGATTTATTCTTCTTTTTTTTTCAATGTAGGATAAAGTTCATATTCTTTATCAAAATACGGGTGATATTTGTTTTAATATTATCAGAAGATTACTCGTTTGTGCATGTTATCTTCAAGACAACGAGGAGATAAATGTCCACTTCTTCAAACAATAGTCGCAATCTTATTTGTTTGTTAAGGACGTGATTGAGGAAAATCTTCTTATCATAGTGAGCACTGCGCATGCGTGAAGTGGAAATATTGAAACAATTTCGATCTTGGTGTTTGACAGTTTGTCGAAATAAACAGAGATAAGAAATCAATGAAGATACATTAAAAACGGGATATAATATGTGAACTTAAGTTTTTGAAAATACGTTTGTTTTGAAAATCTTATATTTGAGTGAAAACATGGGTGCTTCGGGATGCTGTGGGAAGTTATTCATGGGTCTAAATTTCCTTATGTGGGTAGGTATTTATCTATTTTTTAGCGAAATAACGATTATCATAGAAATATTTTTTAGTATTTTATTCTCTTTTATCTCTTAAAGTCATTCTTTGATTCCTTGTTCGTGTACATTACTTCACGATAAGTAAGAGCCGCTGAAGATGCTATATTGGTATAGCGCCTGAAAACTAAAGAAAAATAGTTATAATCAATTCTTTTTTGACATTTTACTTTCAGCTTTTTTACTTTTTATTAAGGACATTTAATAAATTAGGTAAATGATTGAGTATTTTTGAAGCTGCCAATAATTTGACTAATTTTCTCTCCTCGTGGTATTAACATTGAATACAAGTCTGATCGTTAAAAAGGTAAAAATATACATGTATGCGCTTTTACCATTATCCTTATATTCTATCAAAGGTATCTGTTAATTGTCCGTGTCTTATAAAACTTTGTAACATGAAGCCCGTATGTTTTGTAGGACCAATGACGATGATTCTATCAAGAGCTCGTCATAATATATGACGTAAAATCCCCTATTAAAGATTTTATCTACATCGAAAGTAAATCATAAATACCGCATCGAAGATAAATCATAAGTACTGTAAAAAGTAGTCCATGTATTAACTTCTCATGATGAAATATTGTTTTGAAGGTAAATAAACGGTATATAATGCAATGTAAGTTTAGTATTTTTAATGATAGAGGTAACAAAAGACTAAAACTGTATTTATAAAGAACTAGGGAGTAGAGTAGATTAAATATATCTTATATCCGTATTTTACCGGAAAACGAAATACAATTATCAATTTAATAGGTTACCCCAGTTTGACTAAATAGGGAGCAAAATAACCCGTATTTATATCCAGGGAAAATACAAGCGTCTATGTCGGTTTTTTTTTCGCCGGAATGGCATCTGTCTCAACGAAAGAAACTGTTCGCTTTTAAAGGTAGCCTGGCAATAAGAAGTGTTGAAATGATTGTATGAAAATAATATTGATACAAAGGTCAAAAGCCACTGTTGATGGACATATTTATCTGTTATTTGTTATAAATATCGGCGCGAATCTCGAGATTGTTTGCACAAATATCACGAACATTATGTTGAAGAGGAACTCTGATTTCCACATGCAGATATTTAACCTAATTACAGTTTTCTCAAGTAAAAGTTAATATGTTTTACATTTAAAAATACTATTTAAGATATGTTATAATATTTCGTTTGTAAAAATAGGCGATAATCAAGTTTATTCCGTAACTTTACGTTTCGTTCGCAATCGTTCGATATGCCCCGTCTTTTTCCGCTACTATCTGACCAGCAAAGCATAAATATGACAATAAGAAACAAAATTACTTGTCAGTTCATCACATTATAAATACATAATGTGACACACATGCCTAAATTTATACGTGTATAGAAGAAAAGAACATCTCGTAATAACATTAAGGTTTTTGTTGCTATATGTAGTTTCTGTGTTGCCATATTCACTATCCGTGTTGCTATACATGTATTTAGTATCTGTGTTACTATATTGAGTATCTGTGTTGCCATATTCAGTATATGTGTTGCTATATTTAGTATCTGTGTCGCTATATTTAGTACCTCTGTTGCTATATTTAGTACCTCTGTTGCTATATTTAGTACCTCTGTTGCTATATTTAGTACAAGAAACATCCATTTTATTGATAAATTAAAGAGAAGCTAAATGTCAGATTACAATGACTGAATGATATGTGAACATCAAGTTGCGAGCTATGATCCGCAAAAAAAGTATTATTAGCAGATTTGTTAACACTAAACCCTGCTGCAGGCAACTGAAACTTCCCATGCTGCCAGTGTAAACCAATGTCAGCTGATGCACACATGGCGTCTGGCTACTATTAATTCAGTTCATATTTTGAAATTTCTTTATAATGATAATAAGCTTTGTGCAGGTTGAAATATGACCAAGTCTATCTAAGGTATTTTAGGTGGTAATGGTTAGTATATATCACACAGAAGACGGCCATCAACTCTGGTATTACTGTATGTTAATTGTTCATTTGTGACGCGTACAATAAGTACAAAACTCTTCATATTTCAGAGACATCGTTATACTTTTATCTTGCTATCAATTATTCTGTTTGATTTCTCTACAGTATTGATAGCTCGGCTGATTATTCTAAGACCTTGCCAAATCGATCACAATTAGTATTTAGTGTCAAGGCAATTTACTCAGAAAAAATTTGCGAGAAAAATGCTACGCATCGTTAAATAGTCCGAAAATCAAAGAATACATTTTTTTCTCAAATCAGTTATAAGAGTTCCAAGTATTCTGTCCATTCTGAAGAAAATATAATATGTTTGAAAAGATGATTCCTTTGTAAAATATATATATATTATTCATTTTTAACTGAAATGCTTTTTCTTTATTTCATTTTCCGCAAAAAAATACCTTTAAATAACAACCTTCACACGATTAAGCAATTGCCATTTTAATTAATATCTTTTTGGGGCTTCTCGCATAGATTTGTATGAAACTTTTCACAAATTGACAAACTCAAGGACAGAAAACATGTTTGTTGGCACATACGTGACTGAAAATAAATAAAATGTTGAGGCATTGTTTCAATATGTTTGAGATAGGTACAGACAAGTGAATGCAAACATTGACACAAATGTTACACATGTTTCACATCTAGTACATCAAATAAGATTACATTCTTTCACAACAAGGTCATTGCTCTTAAACAAACGAAGTTTCATCTTTATGTTTAAGTGTGACTTTTCAAGCAACGTCCCGTTGTTTGTTTCTATGGCGTACTATTTTTAGAAATTTTCTTTACCGTCATGACTAAAACCCGTATAGCACATCTTGTAAAACATTATCGGCCTGTTGACGGAGAAATATGTCACTTATATCCGTGCGTAATCATACTAACAGCGTGTGTATGAGACACTGGCGAGTTAATTATTCATTCCTTTATAAAATAAGAGCTTGTTACTCAGTTTGTTTCGAAAGTTACGTGTAATTGATTTGTTTTAATGTTCTCAATCACGTGATTATTCTTGTCTATTTAAAACAATATCATTTGTTTGTTTGTTTGATTGATTGATTGATTGATTGATTGATTGATTGATTGATTGATTGATTGATTGATTGATTGATTGAGTGATTGATTGATTGATTGATCGATCGATCGATCGATCGATCGATTGATTGATTGGGTATTACGTCACACCGACACAGTATAGGTCATATGGGGAGGTTTTAGCTTTTCTGGCGGAGGAAAACCTCAGGTGCCCTTCCATGCATTATTTCTGGCATAAAACGGCACCTGAGTAGAACCACAAACGTTCCGTAAGCTAGCAACCAAGATAGCAAAATCATTTAATACATAATCAAATTAAAGTAACTGAAAACAAACAGACTGATTTGGGGTACATGATATCTTAAATTACTTTTTTCATGAAAATATTATGAACAAATGACTAGAAGAATACTATTATTAACGAAAGTAGTCTAAAACAGCATTTAAAATATAATGATTTTATCCCTCGAGCATATGCCAGCCGTGAACAAGGGCCACCTTTCCTTTTTTCACCTTGCTGGTGGTGGTGTTGGTAGTTTTCACTCCGGATCACGGCGGTAAGCCACATTGATTTTACCAGAGCACAGTTCAGCCGCCCTTTGCTGGCTTTCGTTCACAGCTTAATTATAAAAGAGAAACATTTAATGTTCAAATCTATCCAAGATCGATCATACGTTAATGGGAACAATACAGTCTTACAGTTTAAAATACTTTTATATATTTCATAAGATTTTTGTAATTCTCAAATACCCTATGGAATACATAAAATATTAGCTGATCGAAAGTTAAGCTAAAACATAGTTATAACCACATATTTTCTTACAGTTACAGAAACATATATTACCCCATTATTATTTTCTTTCTTTCTTTTTTTTGTGACACCTTTTTTTGTGACACCATTTTGTTCTTTGTAGAATATTTAGTAAAATTCCTCCACTATACTGTATGTGTGAAAAAATGAAAAGGGAACGTAAATGCAAACTCTTTTTTTTTTAATTTTCTTTAACATTACAAAAATGAATTCCATAATCACCAGTCATATTCAGTACTTGGTCATAATGACATGAAGAACGCTTTGATGTTTTCTGTTAAAATAGCTTTCATACGTTTCATAAAACAAACAATAAAGGATAAACAAAATTACAAGCTTAACGTCGTTTAACAAGGAAAACAGAGTAAAGAACAAATTGATTATTTGATATTCAATGGATTGTATCTATAGTTATCTAATTAAAGCACTTGTTTTATATTCTAATTATGAGATTTGAAGACGAAAAATGCCAGTACTTACAACATTCTGAAAAATATTAGTCTGAAAAAGTTGAATTCTTTCACAAATGACCAGACTTCTCTCTGCCAGAACAAAACCGGTAATCTGATAATGAATCTTTAAATAATAACTCTCTGTTCATTGGTTTTGACTTAACTGAATAATATAAATTATGAATACTGTATACCTCTGAGCAACCGCATCTTCTCGGCCCTTTCCGTCTACATCCATTATGCGCTCGTAAGATTCCGGCATATTTCGTTACTTGATGTATTAGAATACAGATGTATTAAGCTTCGATATGACTAAGCGCCTCACATTTTTTGTAATAACTTAATTATACGGAAAATGACGACTATTGCCGAGTTCATAGACGCTAAGGCCTAAAATAATAAAATAAATAAAAAAAACTGGCATTGGTCGCGGCATGGAAAAACAAACATAATTTTAAGGCTAGCCAAATGCTATAAACGAATTATAAATCATTCAAGAAATGAAATTTATCTTTTTTCTAATTTTGCAGTTGATCGGATTTGGAGTCGTTGGATACGGTGTTTGGATTCTTATCACCACCGGAAATACCAGTAACTTCCTGTCAGGAACGCTGGTAAGGAATATTATTCTATAAATTATGATAAACCTACAAAATATATTTCATTATGCATGTATTTTTAAAGGAACTCAACTGAGGTCTTAAAGTTTTAAAGTACAAAATTTGAATTTTTTTCACATTTATTAATCAACTGGGATCCTAAGCAAAAGATAATAAAGAATATATGATCAGAATTGAGTTTGACATCAACCTAATTTGGATTAAAAACGTTTTAATGCTTTTAATTTCAGATCATTTTGCTCAACTAAAATCATTTTTCTTGAAAAGAGAGTGAGCGAAAGATTTGAAATAGTGCACATAAGCCATATTTCCAGTCCTATACCAAATTGTATACAAAGCTAGAAAAAAAATATATCCAGTCCCGACTTGTTGAAAATTCTTAAAGAAGTCCTCAAAAAATGACTTCATACTTGCCATAATAATTGTGTATTTCTGTAGTCCATATTTATTATGCTTGATATATAATGTTTACATATTTCTATGTTTTGTCTAGAAAATAAGGAGGTATTTGAGGATACGAAAAAATAATTATTCTTAACCACGAGTCAGACAAAGCAGCAGGTGTGGTCGTCATGTGATAGAATAGCACAATGTTTGACGTCGTTTTTACCAAAAAATTGTGTTTTATGTTTCTTTATGTTGTTGTTTCTTCTTCTTCTTCAGATATTTACGTACGCGTTTCTAGGAATTGGAACCTTGCTTGTCCTCACAGGTGATATATTTATTTAAGCATTAGTACTTAATTTCAAGTAGAAAGCTACTTTTCGGTTAATGCAGGTTTGTTCGGTATTGATAACAAGAATAATTTCCATTCTAGGCTAGGCATTTTAGCCAAAAATAAGACCCAACCTCAAACAAATTCCTTCAGAAAAGATATTTACATATTTGTTATCTACTATATATGTGTTGCTACAGGAAAAAAGTCCTCAAAAAAATTCGAAGTATAAAATGCTAAAAATGTCATGTTTTGAAATCATGTGTTTTCAATTAGAAAAATCTGTGAAATTAAATAACCCTGATATTCTACGCAAATATGGTCATTAACAAAGTAACACATTAATACACAAACATGCTTTATTTAATCCAAAACACTTCAACCAATGTTGATTACATTCAAAAAGTCGCAACACTGCATAATCTATACATCATCATTTAGACTGCTATAAAACATTACCCCACCCACTAATGATAAATATTTTTTTTACTTTAAGTCAGATTCCATTAAATATTCTTACAAGTTAGCTCTACCAAGAATAAAGTTGTATGAATCTATCTAAATTTATATTATAATTCAAAATTGTAATACATTTTATACAAATAATTTTTATTTATATACATTGTATTTGCATTTCTGTTCTGAAAATCAATCCTTCAAGTAAATATCTTACCAATGCTAAACTTTACCATGGAAGTTTTGTAAAAAAAAATATTGTAAAAAGTCATTTTAAAATAAAATGAATCTTCTGAATGTTAAGACACTGAAAAAACACAATGTTGTTTCATCATTTTTGTCACCGAGGCCCGACTATCCATATAGTCTGACAACGATACACATGTATAAATACATATTGCCCTGCCCTTGTTCAATCCTGAAATAATAAATCCACTTTTTCGGCCGGTGCTGTTGAAACCTTTAGCCTGCCCTTTTCACAGAGACACATTGTTTCGCATCTGTAAAATTGTTACAACATAAGATGATAAATAAAAATGCGAACTTTTCATTCTGCTTTTAAAATAAAACAATTTTATGTCAAACTGAAAATGTAGGTACTATGAAAAGCAAGATAGGATTGTGCTTTTAGATTTATATTTTTATATTGAATTATCTTCAAAAATTCATACATTAATGAGGCACGTTTAGCCTCAGGAAAAACGTGCCTCAGCTTTCTTCTTTAGAAAATATGTTTCATGTTATATTGTTATAATAATTTAAAGCGTGTAAATTGCCTATCGGCTGAAATAAGCGCTAACTATGAAACATCGTAATGTGCCATATAAGTAAGAAATACTGAACAAAACGGCACCTATACTTTCATTGGAAGTTTTGGTCGAGTGTTTAAGGTCACTGACTTCAAAACACTTGCTTCTTACGGTGTTAACGATGTAGGTTCGAGTCCTGCTGGGTTTTGGAATCTATTATCTGACATAGCTTTCCCAAACTAGCTTATAGAATATTGGTGGTTCTACGCGCTAAAAATAATACCTATGTCACACTTTTTCCTTCACCAGTAAAGCTTGAAAGTTATAATATGACCTGTAAAGTGTTGATGTGGCATAAAAACCAACAAACAAATCTCTGATCTTTGTAATTCCGAGAATGTAAGAAAACTGCAGTTTTGGACACTAAAAATAAAACACTTTTAAAAGAAAACCATTTAACTTTTACAAATGTGAATTCCCTTTAGAAAAGTTATATATGCAGTAGCACACAAAATTGAATCTGGTACACCAACTGTGTATTAAAAATATAGAGGGTTTTCTTTGATTTACCTGTTAATTGCTTTTCAAAAATGCTGGATCTTTTCAAACAGAACCCATTTAGCCTCTCCTAACTTGGAAATATGGAAAACTCTTGCCACATCCAATCAACGGATTGATTTATGTTCGCCAAAATATAAAAGGCTGGACTCTTGCTTAATATTGTCTTCTGCAATCAACCATCCCATACTATTCTTAGAAACGGAGATACTATATCTCTACTCTATTCTTTAGTACTTTGTCATAAAAAATAATCACAAACTCCTTTTCAATATTTATTTTTATTCAGGTTTCACATTTTAAGAATATAAGAAGATTTGCTTGTATGAAACATTCTCCAATATCTGATTTGATATCTAGCGGGTGCATACATGTATATAACCGAAACTTTAACAGGAAAGTTGTTTGTTTAACCATATTTTCAGACTAGCCCGTATCCAACTGCAACCCACCCATGAATGTTGCAACTGAGTCTAACTCTAACACCAAACGTTACTGTATATCCCTGTTAATAAAAGATCCTGTAACAATATTTTTATGGTTTTAAATCATAAATATGATGCTCAAATTAAGATTTATCAATATTGTAGGTTCCAAAAAGCATTATTTATAAAGATATTACCGAATTTAACATTTCATGTAAATAAAGGGAGGTAATAAAAAAATTATTTTCTATAAAGTTTAAGTCAAATTTTACAATAAGAAATGAATGCATATATTTTAATGATTACATATAATATGCACACATATTTGCAGTACATATTTTACATATTCTTCGATGTTTGAAAATTGTTTTATTTGCATAATTATGTACATATATATAATTTCACTTAGTGTGGTTTACCACTTTGATCACAACATACAGGATCTTTAAGTAGATATAAACAAATGAAATGTTTTATTTATGTTAATTCCGAAATATGGTTCATTTTTTACCAGAAAAATGATATAACACTAGAGCAGTGTTATGACGTTCTCGTGGTATATTCGTTGCCACTCTTTAAAATAAATAAAACTATATGAAATATCTTTTATGAACTATATAAATGGTAAAATTATGTTGTTTCCAAACTCTTATGGTCGATTACCGAAACAGTTGTATCATAGAATATCTCTGTTATTAAAACACACACGAATGTTGTACAGATACATAATAAAAAGTCCCAAAATAAACTATTATACCTCTATCTTAATTTGTAGGTTTTCAACCGTTTAGCAATGTTTTTGGCGCATGTCCCATTCGCTCTGAAAGAAAAGTTCAAAAATACATCCATGTATGTTTGAAATTCGCACAATTGTGTTGTCATTTGAACTTTCCAGCTTTACTGGTGGAGGAAGACCTCGATGTCCTTCCTTGCATTATTTCAGACACAAACGGGCACTAAGTACAGCCATCGACGTTCTATAAGCTAGCTGGATAGCTTCCTCATATGAAAGAATCCAAAATCCCGAGAGGGACTCGAACCCATAGCGGTCCGGGGCAAGTGGTATGAAGTCAATGACCTTAACCACCCGGCCACGCACTGTTTAACTCATTTTGATTGTGACGACTATGCTGTGCATATGATGAGACGTAACTAAACTATCTGAATTGAATTGAATTTATTATATTCTAGGACTCCTCGGATGTGTCGGGGGATGCTGTGAAAGTACCTGCTGTTTGAAAGCGGTAAGTGATATATCTTCAATGTCAAAGGTAGAACGCGACACTTTGCGAACTTTCGAGTAGCATCTTGAAAATTGGCATGCAAAACCTTGACCATATTTCTGATAAGGTACCGTTGATTTTATTTCAATAGTTTCAGCCAATTTTTGTACACACGGCGTCAAAGCCCGTGTACCGAAAAATTTGAGTCGGTGACCCCCTAATTTGTTTTGATTTTTGACTAAGTATACATTTTAAAGGACGTTTAAAGGAAAAAAAATCAAAAATTTCTGGAATTTTTAAATAAGCCGCTTTAAAGTCGAAAAATGCGGCTAAACTGAACGTCAAATTTTACACCAAATTGACAATTTTCTTTCCATTTTTCAAACATTTTTTTTTTCGGCGTAAAACGATAAATTTTATATCAGCTTAAAGGAAAAAATAATTTCCGTCAAATGCTGTAGAAGATATTTTGTCCGTCAATGGCGTTGAAATACCTGTAACAGTTACCAAGGATACGCAACGACGTCATGTTCAAAAACGGGCTTTGATTGTCAACTTTGACGCCGTGTGAACAAAAATTGGCTGGAACTATTGAAATAAAATCAACGGAACCTAATCAGAAATATGGTCAACTCGAAAGTTCGTAAAGTGTCGCGTTCTACCTTAAATACAATCACTTTTTTAAAAATAGAATACTTTCACTAGGAATGTGCACGCCAGTGTTATGAATTCGAAACAATGGTAGCCCATTTTCAGCATAGGGTGTTTGAGGTGAAGGTGTGTACATACAGTGTTAGTGTTAAGCTCTTTTGGAAATGGACACTTAAAAAAAGTTCTGTATTTGTATCTTTGTAAATTACATAAAACTACTTAATATTTATGGATTTGAGTAAGCTCCGGAAAATATTTTTGACCATTTTCGTTTATCTACTTAACGTCACAAACACTTACATGCATGGCATGTATTGCGGTATCGTGACATTTAGGATAAATGCAACAGTAACTCACTAAACAATTTACATGTGTTTAAGTACGACATTCCTTTATTACCTATACAAATCCACACTACATATTTCGTTGCATGGAATTTATATTCATTACCAGTGTTTACTTTCTGTTTTATTCAGCGTTCTTCATGTTCTTCACGTGATTATTTCCCCGTCTGACGTCATGATTATGTAACACATAGCAAAATAAATCATGGCTTATCTATATCAGGTTTTAGCATTTTGGATTTTCAGGAATTAACACCCTGAAAGCTAGTTCATTACATGATTTATCAACGAGAATTATTTGTTATTGATGGAAAACAAATAGCCGTTGATTCATAACATTTGTACTGAAAAGCAATAAACCGTTTGTAACGCTTTTGAGATAATTGTATATATTATTATATTATAAATATAATTCTTATTTATTCATTTATTTATTTAATAATCTTTTGTAAAAACAATAAAACAACTTTAAACAGTATTTCGCATGCGAATACGAGGTAAAATTGACAGAAAATATATATTTCCTGTCAATTTTACCTCGTATTCGCATGTGTAATATTGTTTTAATATATTTCCTGTCAATTTTACGTCGTAGTCGCATGTGAAATATTGATTTAAGTTGGGTTTTTTTACAGAAGATAAAAGTTAATTTAACATTAAGTTTACATATATATGTTTAGAATTTTTACCGCGACTTTGAGTGAATGATAATATCTAAATGTTTATCTAAATCAGCAGTAGTGTATCTCTTTTTTTAACCTTTTATATATCTAAATTTATGATACAATATCTTTATGTAGGCCTTTTAAATATCTAAGGATATACTACAAACGATGTTAACAATTTATTCTATATATAGCGAAATAATTTAACTAGTTTTTCAACAACATTGTAAACATGGGTCTCCTCTAAACATACTGCCGTTGTTTACATAACCGCGTGTATTATCCTATTAAATATTAATATTGACAGAATTAATATGTCTTGAATATTCATCGCTGTACATTTAAATATGTATAAAAACAGAGGTAAATAATTCGAGTTCATTTAGAGTCGTTGTTAATTAAACAGTCAAATAATATATACGACTTATGCATTTGTCTGTTTAGAAGTGACTGTTTATGTCAAATATACAAATAGAAAGGAAACTGTGTTATCGGTAGCAACCAGCATTTTCTGACAGTTTGGCCTTATATTTAACTCTTGTAGATTTTATTTTAGTATTTTGACATTCAAACTTAAAAAATAACGATTATATATTCAAAGAAGGGCAAGACCTTTTCCTAGATTTAGCAGGGACTTATAATATAAACATAGCACTGTGGCTTAGGCAAACAATTTACTGTTATTATAGTACAAGAGTATAATATTCAAATAAGTTGCTTGCACAAATTTAAAGGCTCTCAACTGAGGTTCAAAAATCTAAAACAGTACATTTGCGCCGTGTCACGACAAAACCAACATAATGGGTTTGCGACCAGCATGGATCCAGACCAGCCTGCGCATCCGCGCAGTCTGATCAGGATCCATGCTGTTCGCTTACATACCCTATAACAAGTAAAGAAACTGATAGCGAACAGCCTGGATCCTGATCAGACTGCGCGGATGCGCAGGCAGGTCTGGATCCATGCTGGTCGCAAACCCATTATGTTGGTTTTGTCGTGACGCTGCTCATTTGAAAATGTTTCATATTCAAACAGGCCACTTAAGATAAAAATATATGAAAAGGATAATTAAACCTACACCGAATTAAATTTGAAATCGAAATTAATTGCAATTCTTATCCCAATTTGAGTTTAATGCGTTTAAACGCTTTTCATTTTTTTGGCCATTTTGCCAACAAAAAAAGTTTAATCTGGAAAAATGAAGAGAGCAAATAATCTGAAATTCTGCACACACGTTATTGGTATATAGAACGTCATCAAATGGTTTAAAATATAGTGGAAAACAATGCACAATTTAGTTATTTCAATAAAACCTCATTTTTAAGTTTATTTGCACTAGACATATAAATGCTTGGGTTTTTGTTTTCAAAAGTTTGAAGAGGCCTATTGTAAAAGGTATGTGGTAAATTATAAATATTCGCGTAATTCGAATATTTTTATTTCTATTTTACCGTATAAATCTTTGAAAGAACAATACTTTTATTCTACAATGTATATTATAGTGTGTAAACGGTTAAGCTTGCAATATAATTATATTTTCAAAAGTTTAAATTGTTATTTCAGTATATTGGATTCATGACTTTCATACTACTTATCGATATTGGAGTTGCTATTGCTGGTTACATGGAAAAAGATAACGTAAGTTTTTCTATCATAAAAAAATTGAGTAAATGCTATTTACATAGCAATTATTACATCTCCTGGCCGCCATTTTGAGAGTCATTTCCAATAGATAATAATTATACCCAAGATAAGATAAAAATCTTTATAATTCTATTATCTTCATGAAAACAAATTAAAATGTTTTGCATATTGGTGCTATAATAATATTTTACTTCATATGTGTAAAAAAATTTGACAATTCACCTAAATCAGCTATTTATATTTTTTTCATGTTTTGTCAATTAAATCATTATGGAATATTGACCCCCAACACAGCTGCCACTTTTGGTAAGTGGGGTAAATATAGTAAAATTTGGGAACTATCTTTAGGGTATTACATCCATCAACAGTTCTTAAAAATTCGGTGGACGTCCGACACATTCCGTATCTTATAACATTTGCAAAGCGTTTAGCTGACAATGTGTAATATTGACGCTCGCATACGAATAACAAATATGAAATAGTGGACGCTACTGATTATTTGTGCATACTATTAATATTCTACAGTTTGCTTAATAAAAATGCTATTTCTTTTACTTTGTTTTTAAAGGTAATCTGCATTTTTTTCCTGTTTAATTTAGGTTCTTAATCTAACAGAAAAGTTGTGGGACGAATTGAATGAGGATACAAAATTCCACATACAAAAAGAGGTAAGACTTTTGTGTATTTAGTTTTATTCTTTTCTTGTCTCATTGCAAATTGCATAAGAAATACTTCAGCCACTTAACAGTCATATTGACTAGTTTGAAAGATATGTGATAATAGTTTTTGTATGAAATTTGCTGAAGTTCGAATCGTTTCCAGTGTATCAAGCCATCTATCTGCTGTATGTTCTTCACAAAAAATATTTGTATGAATTCAAAGTAATATGTTTGGATATAAGAGTCAATGGGCAGATAGAGGAAATCATTGCTAAACGGTAAAACCCTTATTAAATAGCAGGGTAATATTTTGTCTCGGATTATTTTATTCTATTGACGTACAATATTCATGTATGATACATAAGAAAGAAAAGATAAGTTAGATATACATGTAGTTCTATTTCTTGTATTTAATGTAGAAAGGAAATGAATTGTATATGTAATATTGAATGGATCGCGTTAAAACGCTGTAGAATTCATTGTTTTAGATTTTCCTGTGATATGAATCTCATTATCCGTTGTAAAAAGCTCCAAAAATGTCATAAATTGAATCTTTCTGAAAAATACATTAAATTATCGGCACATGTCGTACATTCAATGTTTCTTGCAATACTTATCCGTGTATCACGATTTTATGTATTTCTTACGTGACTTTAGTATGTCTCACGTGCTTTATATGATATACTGTACGTATTTTATGTTTTTAATGTGTCCCTGTGCATTTTCTGTTCGCATTAAATTACGTTTTTTATATATTATTTCATCTTTTCATTCTGTGATTATTTGGAGATTTCCCATGGGGCTTTTGATGTGAAACGTGTATTTCTAGCAGGTGCCCAGAAATCCTTTAGTGTCATGTTACACGTTCTTTTTTAATATATTTTAGCTGGAATGCTGCAGCTATAACGGCACGAGCGAGTACACCTTACCACTTCCGGACAGCTGCTCAAATGACCAGGGCGAGCAATTTAAGGTAAGTATAGATTTTCTTTAATATATGTTTACATTTCTCCGTAAAAATTTAGAATCGATGCGATAAATCTGTCAAACTTAGTTTTTTGTGTGTCACGAAACATCCGTTAAATTATTGTTGTGATTCGGACTCATTTAAACTTTCAATTTCATTTTATTATGGTTGGATTGTTATGTATTGGTAAGTGTTTATTAGTTTGCATCAACAAAATCAAATTTGTCAAGAGCAGCGCAGCCGCTCGTCCAATCTATCTTAAACACTTATCAATTTAGTGTTTTGATTATTTTCATAAACAGTCGATTTACTAAACTTATTTAAGTCGCTTGCCCAGAAGTTCTACTGTTTGAAATTATTTTTTTGGCGCCGCTCTTGACCAATTCAATCTTGTAAATGCTTACCAACGACCACATATACATACATCAAAATACTTACAATTTTACTTAAGAATAATATTGTAAATGTAATGATATAAAATGACTATCGATTGTTTCTTTGTATTTAAGACATTTTGCAAAGACGCAATGGAAGTTTGGGTGAAAAACAACATTCCAATTTGGGCTTCCATGGTCGGTGGCATTGGCTTTATACAGGTATGTTTGTTTAACTGACGTAAACCCCGTGCTTATATTAAGAAATATTTTCTTGTGTAGTTTTTTCTGCTTCCTTTCTCCAATTTTTTGGCGGGGGTGTATTCATTAATGATATGGTTTTTTTCGTATTCCAGTGTAATATAAATAAATATGTTTTTCTTTCGTATTCCAATATAATAACTAAATATAATTATGTATATAATGTCAGTTCCCTATTCCTTATTCCTTTTTCAAATAAGGAATAAGGAATCAGTTCCTTATTCCTTTTTCGAATAAGAAATAGGAACTAGTTCCTGATTCCTTATTCAAATCTAAATAAGGAACAGCAGAATTAGTATTTATATAAAATAAAATTATGGTTGATCAGACAACTAGAACGGTTTTTTCTTTCATAAATCTGTTGAAAATTGCACAAATCAATCATCAAAATCATAAAATAAAGCATCCGCATCGACATATTTTTATATAATATAATTCACTTTCCTATCAAAACAAGCAAATAAAATGCGTGTAGACATTCATGTTGTGTACCTTTATGCATTTTCAATTCTCGATCTAAGAACGTATTATGCATTTCTAAGTTCGTTTTAAATGAAGTGTTCTACTTCTACAGTTGTTTTGTTTTATGATGTTTAATTTATAGGGGCAATGCTTTAAACGTTAAGTCAGTTTTGCAACTGGATCTTGTTTACAGCTAAATATTTTAATTATTTATTTCTCCTTCAGGTTTTGGCTACTATATCGTCCTGTTTAACGCTGAAAGCTGTTGAGGACGCTATGCGGGTTGGAGTTGAATAATGATAGCTACACACTTACAGACAGTTGTTTTTGGTGCTTGGAAGTTACGACAGTTGATGACGTCATTTTTTTTTTCACCACTCCTACGTAAAAATTGTATATTTTGTAAAAAAAAAAATGAAAATAGCTGGTCAGGGATTTTCTACAAAAAAGAAATTTCACGTTTATTTAAACTTAAATTCCATTGGAATTTCGCTGACTTATTGTATAAGTAAATCACTTGAAAGATACAAAAGGGACCAGGAAAACTTCAAACAATTTTGATTTACTACTACTTCGACGACGACAATCAGTTAATCATTTTGTGAATTGTCATCTTTAGCGTTTGCTCTTTTAGCTTTTATTTTACTCTTGCGACTAAAAAATATCTTCCAAAGTATAGTTAGCGAACAAATTAAAATTTATCATACGTATTTAAGATATCTGGCTAATATTAATTTTAATTGATAGCCTAAAGAGTGTTTAAATGTTCTTTAATGTTTCTTTTATTTTTGTTACAGACTTTTGGGGGTTATGAAAATGTTAAAGGTGACTTGGAAACTTACATGAATATTATATTAGGTGTTGGCTTTATACAGACTCCCCATTATTCCAAAATTATAACTTGTTTAATAATAAAGCAGATGGTGTTTTTATTGAAGAGAATCTTCATTTAGGTAGAAAAGTTTTATGATTTATGATTTGTTTAACCTTTATAGCACTAAAGGGAAGTAATATAACAAAAACTTAATGAACTGTCATACGTTAGAGTTAACTGTCTTGATAACTAATTTATTTTACAATTTTATTGCATTTTAGGTACCATAGAAAATGTTTAGTTATGTCTTACCCACTCTTAAAGAAAGTGGTGTTTTCTAGTGTTAAACATTGATGTGATTATAAAGAAATTGCCGTCCATTCTTTTTTTCTTTTTTCATATGAGCCGCGTCATGACAAAACCAACATAATGGGTTTGCGACCAGCATGGATCCACCCAGCCTGCGCATCCGCGCAGTCTGATCAAGATCCATGCTGTTCGCTATCAGTTTCTTTACTTGTAATAGAGTTGGTAAGCGAACAGCATGGATCCTGATCAGACTGCCCGGATGCGCAGGCTGGTCTGGATTCATGCTGGTCGCAAACACACTATGTTGGTTTTGTGACGCGGCTTAAATGTTGTTGAATGTTGAAAATGAGATTTTTATCTGTTTCTGTATGTTAAAAAGATGTAAAATATAAACTGTTCCCTTCTTAGCATCGGTTGTTTTTAAAGCTTTCAGGCCTTTTCTGTTCATCAAAAATTAACTCGCTGACAGTGCTGATCAGACTCTTCACTGTTAGTAGTTCATTTTTGTACTTTAATACTGAATTCCCTTAAATTTGAAATGGACTGCTTGAAATTTAAAGCAGGGTTAATCCATTCCATAAATTCAGCAGTATAAGATAAAAAAAATTTCGGCGAACAGCTTCTTTAATAATTGTGAATTATTTTAGCTTTTTTACATTTATACATGTATATTATAAAACTCATTAATTGCCTTTCATATAAAAACGTTCTGTTCTTCACCGGATTTTCCTTTTGATGAAATAAGCTTCTGTGAATGTTCATGACATTTTTGTATTTATAAAATTGTGTTAACATTTTGTGATACTGTTTTTTATATTTTGGAAACATTGTTTGCAAGCTATTTTCTTTTCACTTTTTAAAAAAAATCATCTTTTCGTGCTTCCTAGTTTGTTGGCGTTTTTTTTTTTGTGATGCAATGTAGTGAACGTCCAGATTACATTTAGCATTTGATATGAAACTGCTGTGAACAATTGATAAACATTGTGAACATTCCGTCCAATTTGCACTTGTTAAAATACATACAACCTATGGAACATTATTTTTTACAACTGACCAGTTATACATTTATTATTTTTGTGCTAAAAGTGCCAAGCTTATGAATTTTTAGATTTCATATCATGTTGTGTAATGTCATGTATGGTGTATTATTTAAAAAAAATGTATATAATTCAAATCAAACATAAATGTTGTTTCTGAAAAGGCTTGAGCTTTAGCATAAAGTTTGCATGATTTTTGATTGTTAACATTTTGATAATAAAATTCTGAACATAAAATTTTCAATTGCTGTATCCTTATTTATTATCTTATTGGGATGTAGTGGTTGATTCGACGTGAATGCGTTTTACAAAATGTTTTTAATATTTGGTTTTGATGTTAAAATAATTTTTGTTTTTGTAAAAAAAAAAATAATGTGTAGCAAGCTCACGGACCGTCGGTCGGTCGTTCTACTCAGGTGCCCACTCGTGCCATAAATCAGTAGTGGAATGTGGAATTAAAACCTCCGTGGTGGAGGGGTTAGAGTCGATGACTTCTAATCCAGTTACCTTTCTGGCGTGGGTTCGATCCCCGGGAGATGCTTTGGTAGTTTAGCGCTGAGGAAGGTAGTCTAGTATACTGGTGTAACTCTCCAGGAACGATGATTAGGAAACTACCAGCATATATGACTGAAATACTGTTGGGAAAAGGCGTAAAATAAAACAAACAAACGGTTGGAATTAATGAACACAATTATGTAAATAAGACTGAACCTAACTAATGATATTTGCCTGTGGAGAAGAACGACAACTTCGAATGAGAATATACAATTTTCCACTGTGATAACCTCTCTTTGAAACACCAGTGAGAATCATTGCTTCCAATGTATATTAGTATATTACATATACCTGAAGAGAAATGATATAAAAGGGGAAAAAAATGTTCCTTTTTTTAAATGGAATTGGAAGTTAAAGGAGTTCCTATGAGGTCAACTAGCCTAAAAACAGAAAACTTATAATTCTTACATAGATTAAGTAAAGCACTTTTCCTTTTTTTTTCGTTCGATTCTTAGCCAAATTTGAGTAAAAAGCGTTGCAACGCCTTTCATATTTAAGTCATTTTGTAAAAAAAAATGATAAGGAGGAAAGAATGATCTGAAAATTTGCACACAAGTTATTGGTTCAGACCAATATCAAATGGTATACAAATCTAAGACATTTCCAGTCCCGTCAAGTCAAAAACCCGCAGTAGGGTCCCTTTAATGCCGTGGCTATATTAGAGTCTCAATGTCAAAAAGTATATCCAATGAACTCTGTCCAGTCTATTCTGCATAAAGACGTCTTTCTTATAAAATGTTTCCATAATTTAAAAATAAAATAGACAAAATCTAATAATTTGACATTTACTTAGTTTATACAGCCTACTACGCTTTCATAAAATGAAAACGGGCACTAGTCTGAAATAGATAAATGTACTTTCATTAAAATGATCTACACGATGATATTTCGACACTTTATAACATTAGACTATAATTGCTTTTTAGAACAATTTAAATTCTAAAATCCTTTTAGAAAAGGGATATGCAGACTTATCAAATATAAAGTTAGCTGTGTTTCATTATTTAGATTTGACCTGTATTTCAATAAAATATAAATAAAGTATGTCGTTATGATGAGATTTTACTGGAAATGATTGCTATCTAGTTAGAAACTAATTATACATGTATATAAACTGTAAAGAAACAACTGGACCCTGTCTTGCGATCTTTTACGAGGGACATACTTTAACAACAGCGAAATTTAGCCATGACTTGCATGTGAAAATACATTTATTATAATAATACCGTTGGAAAGATTATTGATGTTTCTAACCAACAGTCTATTTTCGCACGATTTGCACGTGCAATACAATTTTAGCAGGTCATTTAAATACATGTGGTTTGGTATACTGGTTGTAAACATGGCTGATCTGCATTGTGATTTGCGCGACCTTAAATAAACGCATTAAAAAAATCGATCCCCGGGAGATGCTTTGGTAGTTTAGCGCGGAGGAAGGTAGTCCAGCACTGGTGTAACTCTCCAGGAACGATGGTAAGGAAACTACCCGCCTATATTTAACTGAAATACTGTTGGGAAAAGGCGTAAAATGAAACAAACAAACAATAAGACCGTTTTAGACAGGTTATATGGCCGTTTGTTGCCAACGGCTAAGCTAAGGTTTTGTTGCAACCGTTTATATACCATATAACCCGTAGAAATCTTCCTTACAGATTTTTAATACAGCAAACATCTTTTTTTATTGAAAAAAATGGTTTCAACAAAAAAAATTGACAGCATCCGTGTATATAAAGCTATATAACATTTAGGATTATCCAATGAAAAGCAACGCTACAAACGTGCAGTATTATAAAGTTTGTTTCTTGCATATCAAACAGGATTAACTACCGTTTATACCGATGCTAAAAAAAGCCTGTCTAACACCCCCATGTACATGTAAGACAAGTCGCGCGCTTTAGATAACGTCATTGCCGTGCGCCATTTATGAATGAATTGGGTTCTCAGGAAGACGTCATTGGCGTCCGCGCCGAAGCGCGGCGCTCTTATGGAATGAGATCAGATTTTGTGAAAGGGCGACAGCAACTTCTCGAGCCTTTTAGTCGGTCATAATAAAAGCCGAAAATTCCGATCGGTATGAGGGTGCTTGATTATTAAATAAGAATGAAATGTCGCGATATGTTACAATGAATTTTCGCAATGCAAACATTTACAAATGAAATAACCTTTTCCGTCAATAAATCGCGCTCTTCGGGGTTTTTTATTTATCATTTTGTAGTACACAGTCGGTTATCATGTCATGGTATGTTATTGTTGTACATGTATCCTAGAATGATCAGTTGATGACCTAAATATTCCAAAAACCTATTTATAGATATATCTTTTTATCACTCCTATCGGTAAATGCCGGTCTCTCCCGGTCTATTTTGACCAGGATTTACTAGTGACCGGCGAATAGTACCACGTTTATTGTCTGGTCTCTCCCGGTTTTGGAGTAGATGTTTGATATCGTTACAATTAGAAAAAAACAACAATAGCATGTTTCATTTTATCTATATGAGATAAAAACAATAAATATGTACACGGATTTATATGTAATATAAATCCGTGATATGTACAATAATTGAGAAAAAGGTACATTTTTATGGTATTAAAATGACATTATCAACTTTGAAACATTTTATTTAATTATTCAATTTGTTATCCGTGTTTAGTAAAGATGCCGAGGAATTATTCAAAGTTACAAATTAGATTTTATGAATTATTCAATTGATCGATAATTTAAAAAATGATAAAGAAAAATACAATGTACATGTACATGGTTTAAGAATAAACAATATTATATATTGAAAGATAAACCATAATTTACTGACTTTTTCCAGTTAAGCTTTGACTTATAATCGTCGGTCAATATGACAATTGAATTCTTAAAATTTATTTTACAATTTTAATAAAAAAGAGTAGTAAAAACTCAGTATTAAAATAGCACATAAAACACAAAAAAGAATAAAAGCAAACAATATTCATAAAATTTGTATTTTTTTTTAAATTAAAATTAATAGATATTACAATTATTGTATAATAAACAATTATGCTCAACATGATCAACATGGTAATATAACCAGTGTCATATTTTTACTAACTTAAAGTGTGAACAGATACCTTAAGGGGGTCTTCGCTAATAGCGATAACATGTACATAATAAGGGACAAATGTGTGGTACGTGTTGATCATGCGTTACACATATGGATTATAAATGATTGCATACATGTATATCCGTTGCTATTAATAACCACGATCATAAAGAAATAACAAGTAATATTCTAATCTCTAGCATGCCAATCAAAGTTCATAATGAACAATGTCTTTCGTCCGCTCATTCATAAGTGGTATACATTTCTGGTAGTTTATAAGAATATCTTGTCATCATATGTGTACTAGTTCATCTTCACTTGCTGCATTTCTTGCTTGGACGCCCTTTGATGCTTTGCATCAATGCTTTTCTTGTTTTACCATTATGAATGAAGTGGTAATTTCATACGCTACTATAAGAAAAAAG